CCTGACCCTCAAGTGGCCCCAGTTCCCTCCCGTATGCTGCTGTAGCCCTACATCCAGTCCCAGGCTTCCCCCATGCTCCAAGGCTTCTCTTTGAACGTGGGCTTATCTGCACCCGCTACTAGAGAACCAGCCTGGATGCCAGCTTTAGTTCAATGACAGAAATTAAAGGCATAATCCCAGAACACAGGGATGAGAGAAGACAGGTAAGGAGCCACGTGTGGAGGGCTGGAGAGGCCGCCAGAGGAAGTTTCTTTTCTATGAGACGGGGAAAGAGCACTCCAGTCTTCTGTGGCTGGTGCTGAGTGAGAAAAGGAAAGTTCAGAGGGGTGTGACTATCTGGCATCCTTGGTGACCCCAAGAATCCTTGAAGGGGCCCAGCAGGCTGTGTGCTGTGGATGACATCCTCTCCGCAGAGCCCCACTCCATGCCTGGCTGAGATGAGCCGCCTCCTCTGTGTATACTACTCAGTTCCACTGCAGTGCTCGGCAAACACAGTGGGCCACCGTGGCAGTAGCCCACCTTTGCGCTGCCGTCTGCCCTGGAGCACAGAGCCTAAAGAGTGAGTGGATCTGCCTCTCCTCTAGATGTTCCCTAGAGGCCACTCTCCAGCTCTGCACGATGAGCGGGAGGCAGCCTCTTGCCCCAGGGACTTGAAGTTGCAGTTACAATGACAAGTGTGGGTGGGATGTGCAGAAATTTGGGGCACCAGGAATTCACCAGGCCTTTGTTCTAAGTCTTCAGGGAATGACTGGAGTGCAAAGCCCAGAGAGCCGGAGATAACTAGTTCTCTAGGATGCTCAGGTAGTTGCTTGCCAAGCTGGCAGACCCCTAGCCAGGTTAGAGGTGACCTAGGTCGTGGAGGAGCCAGTGTGGCAAGGAGCAGAGGAAGTATGAAGTCTCCTAGGAGTGGGAAGAGGCATTGATAGAGAGAGCTGGGTGTCTAGGTAGCACAGGGGCAGGCCAGTGGTGGGCAGGGAGATATGGCTAGGGCCTCGGGTGTGTACGGCCTTCACTGTCAGGTAGGCTTTGGACGACTGTTTAGAGTCAGGAGCATGGACTCATCAAAGTGTAAGCTGGTCCAGCCGAAGGGAAAGACGGATAGAGCCTCCTCTGCACTCCAGCCTCCTGCTCTAGCGATACGAATCCCAGGTCTTTGCACTGTAGCAGTTGGCAGCAGAGCTCTAGCTGTGACCTTATGCTTTGGTCTCCTTACCTGCCAGTGGTGACAGTCACTGTGCCTGCAAATGGTAGGTCTGTTCAAGGAGGGGTGTCTGCCCAGAACTGTGCCTGTCCCGAGGCCAGCACCAGGTCATTAGCAGATGCTGTTCTCAGCCTCAGACATTCTTTGGTCTGGCACATGCTAGGAGCTCAGGAACACATCCTGATACTTGTTCAAGCTCATGGGTCCTGGCTGTTCAGGGAGGCTTCTTTTGGCTCAGACCCTGCCACAGGGCTTTCTTGAGAGGACCTGTTCTTCCACCCCCATTGAGCTTGAGGCCAGAGGAAATGGCAACTTTCTTCGCTGGGAAAGTGTTGTGAGGCTTAAGCACTTGGGGGTTTTTAGAGTCAACCGTCAGAGGCGAGGGAGTTTCTCTGCTGGCGGTGACAGGGGCTCTCGGTGAGCTCACAGCCCTGTGAACAGACCGCTGCGGTCTGCAGGGAAAATGCCGACTGTGTTTATTTTTTACTTGAACCTACAGGAAGTGGCGGGCCAGGGGCAGCCTAGCTAGGCCCAAGCTCAACTCTTGAGCAGAGAGCTCAGGGGTCCCCCATCTCTACCTTGTGCTGCCTTGCCCTAAGGAAGTAGCCAGGCTAGGGCACTGGAGTTGGGACTTCGCAGAAGATGCCTTTGGACCGTAGCTGAGGGTGGGTGTGGGAGCATCTTTGAACAGCAAGAACATGCCAGTAGCAGGGAGGGAAGGGCCACCTCTGTTGGGAGGGAGCTGGTCATCTGGTGGGTAGCAGGCTAGATAACTCCTGGCAGGAATAGCAGGGTAGCTGTGGGCACCCCTGGGGCCCGAGTCTTGGACCTGTCCTGGAGTGCCACAGGCTGGTGGGAGGAGCTGCCCACACTCAGGCCAAGGCAAGGAGTTGGGATGTGGGGAAAAGAACCAAGTGCAGTTGAGTCTCTGACCCATGCTTGCATGTTTATGTCCCATTATGCTCTGACACTCACTGTGTCCTTTCCTAAGGAGATGAGGGACTATGCTGTTGAGGTGCTCAGTGTCTGGTGGGGACAGTCAACCCAACCTGCCTGCTTCTCTTGGAGGCTAGGGACAGTCACCCTCAAGCAGAAGAAGGAGGTGGATCTCAAGTCCCTGGACTTCCCAGGCACACGCCAAGCCCTAGGTGACCCCACCCTGTTGGGGTGTCTGGCGCTGAGACAGCCCTGTGCTGAAGCCCTGGAGTGGGACGTTCTCCCGGCTGAAGGGGGTAGGGAACTTTGTGCCAGACAATACCCCCTGGCTAGCACCATGAAGCATGGAAGGGGCTGAGGAGTTGGAGGTAGAGGCAGACTGCACAAGCATGGGAAGGACTGGCCAGGCCCACAGTGCCTTCCCTGGAGCCCTGGCCTCGAGGGCCTCTGGCGGCTGCTGGGTTCTTTGCCCCCAACCTGCCCACCCAGTGCTTCTGTGGTTTGGCTGCAGACTTCTAATTAATGAGGCTTTCCCCAAATACCAGGAAACACTAGTAGACAGGACAGGCCCACCATTCCCAGGACTCCCAACCCTAACCACACACACACACACACACACACACACACACAGTACCATTCCCAGGACTCCCAACCCTAACCACACACACACACACACACACACACACACACACACACACACACACACACACAGTAGGAGTTACAGGCCAAGCTGGATCTCTGAGGTTTCTTAGGCCCAGTCAGAGCTGCACTGCACCCTGGGGCTCAGGAAGCAAATCTAGGCCTTAGGCAGTGAATCAGTGTGGTGCCTTATGCCAGAGTCTAATACTCACGAAGGAGTCGAGTTACCATCGAGTTACCACGAGGCTGCTGGCTGGCTGGCACTGTCTTGCAATCTATGAGGATAAAAAAGGGCCTTAAAGATTATCAGGAGGCTTCCTATTGTAAAGGGTCTCAGCAAGATTTCTTTCTTTATGACTGATGAGGTGGGCAGGACTGATTGTCATTCCTGTTTAGGAGCGGAGAGGTCCAGATCAGGGTCCTGGAGTGACAGGATCAGGAAATGGTTAGCAAGCCTAGAGCTTCCAAACTTCCTTCACATCATGGTGTACCTCAAAACTTAACCCTGGGTAAGAGTGTTGTGGGGTTCCTTGGCACTGTAAGCAGGCATAGTGAACTGTTAGGGAGCTGGGGGTGACCACAGAGTTGTCACCAGGTAAGGAGATAGTCAGGTAGAGTGACATGCTCTGTGTGCTGGAGCCTGGCTAAGGGGCAGAGAGGATCACTGGTCCAGGTGAGAAAGTGATGGCTTAGACTGGTTGGGAAGGAGGCAGGAAGTGGTTAGGGTCTAGATTTTGAAGGTAGAACATTAGAATCTGCTGAGAAATTGGACACAGGGGTCAGTGTCAAGAATGACAAGGTTGTCTGTTCTGAGTAGTCCTCAGTTAATGGAAGAAGGATGGAGCTTCTAGTAACCCAGTTAGTCCATAGCATACAGGCAGAGTCAAAGGTTCTTTTTTGAGGGCTGAGGATGTAGCTCAGTAACAGAGTACTTGCATAAGTATGGAGTTTGGGACATTTTAGGACTAGAGTTGAGGTACTTACAAACGTATACACTGCCTAACATGTGTCCACACATCTCAGAGCTACCCCGGTTCACTCCTCACCTCCCTTAATGGACACAATATGTGCTCTGGCTGTGGCTGGCTGGAAACTATGCAGACCAGGCTGGTCCTGAACTCATCCACTTGCCTCTGCCTCCTGAGTTCTGGGATTATAAGGGAGCACCAACATACTTCGCTTCAGACGTCAACTCTTGTTTGTCTAAGACAGAGGGAAGCCTGGGTAGCCCAAGACTTGGGAAAGGTGTATATTACAAGCTAAAGGCAGGATGCAGAGAACAAACGAACGATGGCAGACCAGGACTTCGGTAGAGATCTACCGGAGCTGTGCCCAGTTAGAGGCCTCGTGCCCAGCTTTCCCTCTGGGTTCACCCTAGAGCTGCAGTGCCAAGTATCAAGCAAGGGACCTGTGCTAGGCCTCATTCACTTCCAGGAGAAGACACACAAGATCTGAGGGCTGTTCTGCCGAAATGCCCACAGCGGCCTTTACCTGCTTTTCCCAGGCGTTCTATCCATTGTCTTGCTCCAAGATGTCTCGTTTCTTCCTTTGGTGCCATAGTGAGTAGTCACTCCTATGTGCTTTCAGCCAGGAACATCCCCACAGACAGGTTTGTCTGGGTGGGAGCTGAGCCTCAGTTGTAGATGCCCCCAAGACTCTGCCCTGCAAGAGTTCTGAAGACCCAAGGCCTGGCAGCGACTCCCTGTGGCTGGGCCTGTGCTCTCTCGGCCTGCTGAGTCATCTCTTGACACAACTATTTGACTGTGAAAAGAGTCCTGCAGCTGAGGAAACACAAGAGCTGTGTGTGAACAGGCTGTCCCTTGGGGGAGCCAGCTACCACCTGACCTCACCAAAGTTAGGGGCTAAAGGAGGTCCCTGCCCTGTGCCAACACACGCAGTTAGAACTGAGGTGGGACAGTCTGGACACTGCAGGAGGAAAAGGCTGCAGACAGCCATTGGGGGTCTCTGGGACCAGGAGGCCAAGAAGGACTTCCTGAGAGGAGAAAGGCTTGAGTGTCCCAGAAGAGGCTTACTAGGAGGTGGGACGGCACAGGCAGTCCTGCAGGGTTGGGACGCAGGAAAGCTGTCACAAGGACGCAAGGTGTGTAGAATGCCCTCTTCCCATAAGCTTGTGATTTTGACTGCTGGGCTGACCACAGCTCAATCCCCTCTGCCCTCTGTCACAGAACACCCCATGTTTACCAGCCTCCTGGTTGTTTTTCAGCATAACAAGGCTGGCCAGCCTCCACATGGTGTCCCCCAACTTTCTCCACTCTACGAACATTTCAGCAGTCCACACCCGACCCCTGCACCTTCGGACATCAGCCAGAAGCAAGGTATGGGATGGGGATGGGAGAAGGCCATTGAGGTAGGAACTTGTGGCCCAAGTTCCTTCTGAGGCCGCATAGGCTGGCCAACATTTTATAACCGTAGAAGCTGGGATTTTGCAAACCCAGGGCCCAAAGAAAATGTCAGAAAGGAACCAGGTGTGGTGGTACATACCATACCTATAATGCAACTAGTTTGGAAGGCACAGGCAGGGGGATTGAAAGTTTGAGGCCAGCCTGGGCTACACAGTGAGTTCCGGACAAGCCTGGGCTACAAAAACAAGATCCTGCCTCAGGGGGGCATTTAAAGAACAAAACCAAACAGAAACGGACTGAGAGTCTGAGAGCACTGTGCACAGAGTATGGGGAGGTGGACCAGATCAGAACGAGGCTTCTGACCCCCATGCCAGGGCGAGAGTGGCATCTGTGCAGTGCCGCAGCTGTGAACTCAGGGCCTTTCTCCAACCCCGGTGAGAAAATGGAAAGTGGTGGTTGTGACGGCTGACTCACCTCAGCCTCGGCCAAAGTCATTCTGAAATCCACCACTGTCAGCTGTGGGAAACCTGCTGACTCAACCTGGGCTGGGTGGAGCCCTGGCTCTTCAGGTCAGGTTCCTTTAGACTAGGGGGCTGCCTTCTACCCAAAGAGCCAGGCCAGTGTCCTAAGCAAGACAGAGCAGCAGTGCCCCAGGAATTGGTGAGGTCTGACCTCATTCCTGAGTGACTCCAAGCTTTGCCTCTGTCCAGCCAGTGTTCTCAGGCAGGTCCCTCAGCACCTCTCTCTGTCCCTGGTCCCTTTTGCTCTGTCAGAAGGCCGTTGTTATTACCCTAGGACAGTTCTAAACAAATCAGCTGATACGTGGACCCCTGGCAAAAGGAAGCGGGATCTTAGAGGCCCCTGTAGGAGGCTCCAAGGTATAGTAACTGCTGAATGTCCCAACCTCCCAGGTGAGGGTGGCCTACTCACTTGGCCCCTTTCCACTACAGGAGTTCACAGGCCGCTGCAGACCCCTGATCTCTCTGGATTTTACTCTCTGACCTCAGGCAGCATGGGACAGCTCCCCCACACTGTGAGCTGGTAAGTGTGGGCCCAGAGAAAAAGGGGCACTGAGTCTGCCCTCCCATGCTTCTCCTTTACCCACCTTGTTGAGACCCGAGCTGCCAGCTCTGTAGCCGGCAGCTTTAGCCTACCCTGGCTCTGAGCTAGCAATTCTTGTGACTGTGAGCATCCTGCAGGTAGCTTGACGTACTTCCTCTATGGAGGTAGGAAAGCTGGCTGCTGGTCTCAGCCCTCCCCAGCTAAATTCTCCAGAAGGTGAGAAAGAAAAGTTGAACATGTGCAAGGAGGCACATAAACCCCCACCAGGAGAAGCTTACTGCCTCTGAGCAGCCTGGTAAGCAGACAGGTAGTTTCCTGGTGGCCTCAGTGTCTGCTGCTGGCCTGACCCTTGTTTGGCAGAGCAATATGAGGAACATTTAGGTCTTCCTGGTCTCTGATGTTTATTTGAGCCACACTCCTGACCAGCCTACTGGGAGGGTCTGTTAAGGCTGGACCAGGCCTGACTGTGGACCAGAGTCTGTTCTCAGCTGGAATTGGATCTCAGTAGGCCACTTGGCCGACCTTTTACTCATTAACCAGTGTGACCTGAACAGGTCTCTAACCAGTAGCAGGAAAGGCTGTCTCCCCAAGAAGGCAGTGAAGGCCAGACCTTCAACCTGGGCCTACCGGTCCTGTTCCACTGGCCCATTATCCATGATCAGCACACTCCTCCATTTCCAGATTGTTTTGGACAGAGTTCCATTCTACCCTGTGATTACCCCCAGGACCAAGGTGGGGCTCAGTGCTCAGCCTGATGGTGCCAGGCCAATGTTCTGAACAGGCTCCTAATAAGTCCCTTAGGCCTGAAGCTCCAAAGACCAGGAAATCTGAGCCTTAAGAGGATATTTATCAACTGAACCTCCAGAGAAGGGTATAGGCCCAGAGAAGGGAAGCTCTGTGTTCTTAGCTGCTGCCGGGTGAGCCATGGGTCATTTTCATCCTCTGCACTGAGTCATCCGTGTGCTGGGAAGGGATCTGAGTGCCAGAGAAACACCGGTGGAGCTAACGACCTTAGGCCCCTGCCCTTTCAGAACAAAGTCTGTCTAGTGGACAGCTAGGCAAGAAGCCAACAGTTACGGGCCACTGGTAACACTGTCTTGACTTTTGGGAGGGACTAAAGGAGCCCAGAGAGACACCTCATTCACCTTGGGACCCCTGGGCTTTTGAGTGGAAGCAGGGCTGAAGAGACGGCTAAGCAGTTAAGAGCATTAGCTATTCTTTCAGAGGACCCAGTTTGGTTCCTAGCACCCATATGGTAGATCCAGGAAATCCAATCCCATCTTCGGACCTCCTAGAGCACCAGGCATGCATATGGTGCACAGACATACTTGCAGGCAAAACACTCATACACATTAAAAAAATAAAGAGTTGAAGCAGGCAGATTGGGACAGAAGAGCAGTCCAGACAGTATCAGTAGAGGGGCTATAGATACCAGTTTCTGGGAGAAGGCTGCCATTTCTAACCTTTAAACATCGGTGAAAGCCGGCAGGTATATGCAGCACTATATGAGTCCCACCACACAAGGTACAGAAGTCCTTCCCCATGTCTGGCTAGCAGTCAGCCGGCTAACAGCTGTCTCTCCCAACCACAGGCCCAGCCCTCCTCTCTACCCCCTGTCCCCTTCCTGCGGATATAGACAGCACTTCCCTGCCCCCACTGCAGCCCCTGGCGCCCCCTATCCCAGGTGAGTCCCCTATCCCTGCAGCCAGGCTCCTGCTTCCTGTTGCCCAGGCTTCAGTGCCCACACAGGGCTATGTTCAGGCCAGTGCTTACCCTGTGTTAGTTGTTTGTCTGTCTGTCTGTCACCTTGGAGTCCCATGCTGCTCTGTTCCTGAAGATAACATTAGAAGTAGGAGTCTCAGCCCAAGCCACCCTGGACAGAGCACCCCATGCAGCCAGGACAGCAGTGCAGATGTGGTTAACAGCAGCTCTGTTGCTCAGCCCTGCTGGGGCATCCTCTGAGCTCTGCCCAAGCCAGGGACTACAGTAGCCTCTGGACTCCAGAGCCTGCCTGCTCGGGGTTCTTACACCTGGCAAGCAGCACAGGGCAGAGGAGTCTCCACACAACGGCAGGAAAGAGGTGTGTGAGGGAGTGGGTGTACATAATGCCCCCTTTCATTTAGCTCATTCTAGTGACACACCTAGTGCCAGGCATGCCGTGGGCAAGGCGTTCAGCAGCCCATGGTAGGAGGTAAAGATACAGCACCAACAGCTGAATGGGCCAGCTGGGCTGAAGACAAGCCCCAAGAAGACCCCAACCAAGCATGAGGTCAGGGAGGCTTATGGGAAGGTAATTCCTCAGCAAAGTGGACGGAGAAGCTGGAGCTGGCTGGGGGATGGGGCAATGGTGACAGGAAAGCAGGAAGATGGGATGAGAGATGCAGTGTGGGTGCTTGTAGGGTTTTAAAGGCCCCAAGCAGGAGCTTGAGTTTTATTCTGTTATGTATCAGAGAAACTTGAGCTGGAGTGGGCTAGCAAGCGTTCTTTTTAAGTCAGTCTCTTGTGTGGAGAGGAGTCTGGAGGAGCGAAGTGGGAGAGCATGTGGATAGGGGCAGGATTGAAAACCACCTGAATAGCACACACGTGGGTCTTCTGCAGTGTCCGTGCATACATATCTGTGTACCGTGTCCAGGCCAGTGGATATAAGGTATCTATCTGTCTGTCAATTGTGTCCTCTGTGCAGGGACCGCTCGCTGTATGTGTTCAAAGGCTACCCAAATCTCTGGTTTAGTGTTACCTTTCCTCCTACCTCCAGGTTCACCCACCCGTCCTTGATGCTGGGATCCGGTGTACCTGGACACCCAGCAGCCATCCCTCACCCAGCCATTGTACCCTCCTCAGGGAAGCAGGAGCTGCAGCCATATGACCGAAGCCTGTGAGTTAAAACACAGGCTGGGAGGAGGGAACAAGGTGTGAGCCAGGCAGGTGAGCCGAGTGGTTTGGTCAGCCAGGATATACATGCCTCCTACCAGGTTCAAGGTCCTCTTCCTGGCATCTTAAAGGACTGCCTGGAGGGCCCTGCCAAGCTGTCCTGTGGCTCTGGTACTGACCATTGCTGTGCTTTGTAATCTTCAAAAGCATGAGTAGGTGGAGAGCACTGGCCACTCTTCCAGAGGACTCAAATTCAATTCCCAGCAACCACATGACAGCTCACAACTGTCTGCAACTCCAGTTCCACCTTCACATTGACATACATGCAGGCAAGGCACATGAAATGAATGAATGAATGAATGAATGGATAATAAATAAATAAATGAGGGAGGGAGGAAGGAAGGAAGGGGATGAGTCTCTCTCTGCTTTCCCACTTGGCTCTGGTATTCTTGAAAGGAACAGTTACTTCATTCCCTGCTCATTAATGTGGGGCAGTTAGAAAATTCTGCTTACAAACCACTACACAAAGAGTGGTGGAGCCAGGCAGGGGTCGCGCACTCCTTTAATCCCAGCATGCAGGAGGCAGAGGCAGACGGATCTCTGGGTTCGATGCCAGCCTGGTCTACAGAGTGAATTCCAGGATGGTCAGGGCTACACAGAGACCCTGTCTCAAAAAAAAAAAAAAAAAGGGTGGGGGAGGGAGGAATGGTGGCATTAGGTAATGATCACTGCGGGGCAGGGGCGGGGGTGCTTTCCAAGTAATGTAATCTGCTTGTGCACCCTAGGAAAACACAGGCAGAACCCAAGGCAGAAAAGGAGGCTAAGAAGCCAACCATCAAAAAACCCCTCAATGCCTTCATGCTTTACATGAAGGAGATGAGAGCCAAGGTCATTGCAGAGTGTACCCTCAAGGAAAGTGCTGCCATCAACCAGATCCTGGGTCGCAGGGTAAGGCCATGGGCAAGTGGGCTGGCAGGGATTGCCCCCAAACCTTTTCACCCTGGTACAGCTTCCTAACTCCCTGATGCATCCCATCTACCCCGCTTCCCTGTTGCAGTGGCACGCACTATCTCGAGAAGAGCAGGCCAAGTACTATGAACTGGCCCGCAAGGAAAGGCAGCTGCACATGCAGCTGTACCCAGGCTGGTCAGCGCGGGATAACTACGTGAGTGGCCATTGATACACCACAGGGAAGGGCGCGGGAACCTTTGAGATACCATACCCAAGACAACCCCCTCAACATGGGAAGGGCAATTTTTGTCTTGACAGTACAGGCAAGGTAACACATAGAGAGCCCAAGACCTCCCCTGACTGTTTCAGAAGAGGAAAGCTTAAGTAACTTTCCTTAAAACGGCAGTTCTCCACTCCAGAATACATTCACTTGTGGGACTGTTGCCTGGTATTTGGTTTGGCATGAGAGAGGGGGAATGAAGAAGGGGTCTACAAATCCCTCCCTGTACTCAAGGGGACATCAGATTGACAAAGGGAGAGACTCCTAAATATATCCTATCTACAGTAGCCTTCTAAGTACTACAGCCAAGAAAGAGGAGCCCCAAAGTAGGTGAGGCCTACTGACCTAGAATCTCAAAGGCAGAGACTGCAGATATCCCAGTGTCTGCCTCCTAGAACCAACCTTCTCTCTTATTCGTGCAGGGAAAGAAGAAGAGACGGTCAAGGGAAAAGCATCAAGAATCGACCACAGGTGAGGCCTTGCTTCAGTAGTAATAGAAGTTCCTCTCTTCATGCTCCCATTTCAAGAGCAGCCCTCCTCTGGGCCAAAGGGTGGGGTGGAACACTCGGCCCGGAACCTTTAGGGCCTGAGTCCCCTGGAAACAATCTGCATTTCTGGAGTCTGATTCCATGCACTAAGAGTTGAACTGTATTCTAGGGACAGACCAGCAGCAGTCAGCTCTCTAGTGACCCCCGTGCTACCTTTGCCAGCCCTGCTCCCAGCTAGGTTCCCCAGAGAAGTTAATGAACTGGTTATATGGTTCCATGTCTAAAGCAAAAATGTCGGCCAGGACCCAATAGTAGTCACACAGCCTACTGACAGGTGCCTGGTGATTTCTCCGTCACTAGTTCCCATTTCTCCTGGCAGTGTACAGTGCTACAGAGCACCCATCCTGCTGCATGTCTCCTTCTTGTCCCCAGCTTTGACTTAGATGAAAATCCATGACATTCTCAGCTGTGTTGCCCCAAACAGGAAAGCTGAAGCCTAGGACTGGGACAGGACAGGAAAAAGTCTCATAGCCCTTTCTCTCAGGATAGGAGCAGGTCCTTCTTTCCAGCTCTTAAGTGTAGAACATGAGGTATAGTTATGCTGTACCTTTAGTCTTTTTAGGAATGTGGGCCAGAAAGAGATGGGGCATTGACAGGAATGAGGAGAAACCACATTAAAACTTGCAGTAGTTAGGGGAAGGGAACAGTCAGCCCAGGAAGAAAATGCAGAAGCCCTAAAAGATCCCTGTGCAGTTCTAGAACCCCCACACCAGGATGATCAGCCAAGGGAGGGTAGCATGAGGACTTTCTCCACACTCCATCATTCTTCCCACTGACTCTTGCCCAACTGGGTGACTGCCTTTTCTCATACCTTGCTCTGGGTCCTAAGGCTTCCCCTGGGGCCCGCTATGCCATGGAGAAGTCCATTCTGCCTGTGGGGGCTATGGGGTGTCTGTAACTGGCTAACACTGATGTTACCTCTTCTTTCTGGGCCCTGTTCTGCCCTGCTGCCTGCCTGCTCGCCCTCTGCCCTGTTCTGCCCCTCTGGCATGGCTGTGAGCAGACCCTGGCTCGCCTAAGAAATGTCGTGCTCGCTTTGGCCTCAACCAGCAGACGGATTGGTGTGGTCCGTGCAGGTGGGTTGTCCCCACCGTCATTCTCCCTGTGCTTCAAGCTGCTTCCCTTATTGCACATGTTCCGCCGGGTCTGCAGCCTCTCTTTTGGTCCCTCAGTCCCCTAGTGAGCCCTGTAGAAAAGGGAACCCATGCCTCCTAAAAATCTGTGTGAACACTGAGTACAGATTGTGGAGATGACTAGATGGGACAAGTAGAGAGGGAAAGACAGTGTTTTAGAAGGAAAGAAAGGCATACACAAGTGGGTGGGCTTTGGTACCAGCCAGATTTACCAGGTCCTCAGGAAACAAATCTGTCACACTTAGATGGCCTGAGCCCCTACTCCTAGCCTCAGAGTGATTAAGGTCCACAAACTCCCCTTTTTCCTTAAAATTAAATTCCTGCTTAAGAAAGGCAAAATGATGGTATCAGAGACTTCTAGAAATAGTCTGATCACCAGGAAGCTGTGTGTGACTTGCCATCTTGTTACCTGTTAACACCAAAAAGGTTACAGAGGCTGGAGGAGAGAAGCATTCAAGAGAAAAGAGGAAAGAATTGTGTGTGGTGTGCTCACAATAGGAAATGGAGATTCCATCCCTAGAAGAGGTCTTATCCCATCCATTTGTGCTGCTCAAGACAAAGGTGTACACCTGTCACCCCAGCATTCAGAGGGCTGAGGCAGGCCAGGCAGCACTGTATTAGGAGACCCTGTCCAAAACAAGGATGCCCAGAGGGCTGGAGTTATTAGTAGGCAACAGTCACCATGCACTTCTTCCACTAGCCTGGTTGTGAGAACCAAGATTATCACAAGCATCATGGTCCGTTGACCTAATGCCGATCTAATCCCTGCAAGTATACATGGAGCAGTAGCTCAAGGATCCAGACCTAAGAGATAGTTCCCCTGGAAAACAGAAGGAAGCTACCCACAAAAGGTTCCTCTTGCCATCTTGTGGCTGTTCTGTGTAATTACACCCATCCTAGGTCTGGGCCAAGTGGTGGGGCTGAAGGAATGGGCAGTTTCCAGTCCACAGACAGGACAAAGTGGTTAGCCAGGCCAGTTCAAGGACAGCCATTTTCTGGTTGTGGTGTGTGACTGTGGATTCACCCTCTGTTTACAGATAACTCTCTTCACTATTCCTAGGAGGAAAAAGAAATGCATTCGGTACTTACCCGGAGAAGGCCGCTGCCCCAGCCCCGTTCCTTCCGATGACAGTGCTCTAGGCTGTCCCCGGTCCCCAGCTCCCCAGGACTCACCCTCGTATCTTCTGCTGCCCCACTTCCCCACAGAACTGCTTGCTAGCCCGGTGGAGCCAGCACCAACATTCTCAGGTCGCTCTGCAACTCTCACTCTTCCTGCCCCTGAGTCCCCAAAGACCCTCCACAGCACCCTCCAGAATACACAAGTACAGCAACAGGAACCTCAGAGACAGGCAGCCTAGCATGCACAGGACACCTGGCTTGCTCCAGGGGCCCACCCCTAACTCAAGAGGAGGCAACAAGACCAGATCACTCGGAACCAGCTAGGGGTCCTCTCTAAGGTGCTGAAGATTTCAAAGCCGCTTAACTACTCCCTGAACTGGAGGCCATCAATTCAATGGGTAGGGATAAGATCTGTGGAGCTGTCTCACAAAGGGCATCCCAGTGCCTGTGGCAGCCACACCTCTTCTTTTTATCATGTCTTGCTAGCTGGATGCCCCTACTGGTTTTGTTTTTTTTTTTCTTTTTCCTTTTGCTGCAGGTCAGATGAGCTGGACTGACTGAGTCCAGCTGCCTTCTTCTCTCCAGATGCTTCTCTTGCCCTCTGCCATACTTTCCCCATGCCAGTACTTCTTGGACCAAGAATACCTGGTTTACCACACAAGATGACTTCGTGGTTGGTCACCAGCCACAAAAGTCTAAATAATAACGCTTCTCTCTTAAGGAGCTAAGAAGTTCTGTTTACAAGTAACAGCTGCTGTTCCTAAGCTGGGCCAGAGGAAGCTTCTTATGTGTTCTCAGGAGCTTGCTCCTCCTCAGGAGGAGGAAATGGGATAGGTGAAGTTTAAGAATTTTCACCCTAGGCACCAACCCTCCCCACTGGTGGACAGTACTCAGCTTTAATTAGAATGACTGGGACGTCTTTCCTGAGAAACTCACCAGCCCTAGAAACTAGTCAATAAATTGAAGTTGGCCTAAACACAGTGTGCACCCTTCCCAGTTCCATTTCCAGCTCATCTATGTCAGCTGAATCACAGCTCGTGGGCAGCTGTGAAAGGGCAAATCCCAAATCCCCCAACAGCCAGAGCCCATCTCGGCATTTAGAACTGGCCAGCCAGCTTCACTTTATGGGGCTGCAGGAAGAGATCTGTTACAACCAAAGCAAGGAGTCCATAAGACCTCTTGTGGTGGACATGGTTCTTTGCCACATTCTAGAAATCCTTTTTGAGCCAAACTTAACCTTGAGCCTTGAAAAACAAGTTTTGGTTTTTTTTTAAACTGTTTTGTTTTGTTTTTCATTAACTGTATATAGCTTGAATCCAAAGAAAAGGGGTTATTCATGTATTCTACACACCTTAAAAAAAAAGCCTTTAGTTCCTACTTTTAGCCACTTGTTTCTCAATCCAAAGATCATGTTTCTAGTGTAGTGTTACAAGTGCTGAAAAGACTGGCAGAGTGTGGTGGTGCACACCTATAATCCCAGTATTTGGGAGGTAAAGGCAGGTGGATCTCTCTTGAGTTCCAGGACAGCCAGGGTTGTATAGAGACCTTGTCTCAAAAAGGAGGGGGGAAAAAAAACTGACGTAGTATCCAAAATATTTTTGTATTAATGCATTATCATAGAAAAACTTTTTTAAATGAGAATAAAGATACTTTTTACTGGGTTTGTTTTTCAAAGACTGAGTAGTAAGCTATTTGAATTAACAGTGCCTACCTAATGTTCCTTTCCTTCTTAGCTGTCACAAAACGTGGAGTGTATTCCCTAGTGTGTACAAAGATCCCAAGACTGCCAAGCTGCAAAATCCAAAAATTACTCTCAGCATCTCCTTCAGGGGCCTGGTCCTGACCACTCTCAGCATCTCCTCCAGGGGCCTGGTCCTAACCACGTCTGAGCTCACTTTCCAAGCTCTACTCTTACTCCTTGACACTCAAGCAAGGCAGGCCAGCCCACTCCCCAGCACCCTTGTGCACCAATGAGTTGGCAGTTGCCATCCCAGCCACTGGACAGTCCAACCTGAAATGTATTCAGGATCTGCTTTCCTCTAAGGGCAGAAAGAAAAGAGAATCCATGCTTATTTCAAGAAAAATAAGCAATTCAGTCTTCAAATTTGATATCACAAAAGCCCTACACAGACTTTTTTTTTTCTTCTTCAAGAATTTATTTAGATGGTTGTGAGCTGCCATGTGGTTGCTGGGAATTGAACTCAGGACCTCTGGAAGAGTAACCAGTGCTCTTAACTGCTGAGCCATCTCCCTAGCTCCCTACACAAAGACTTAACAATACTCTATTCTTACAAGGACTGCCTGTTAAGGCACTTTCTCCCAGTTTCATATAAGACCTGTGAAGTCTGAATGATAACTACTTTTTTACATGCAGGTCCCACCATGGGAAAGTATACTGTGCTGCTAACTTCTTTGGATCTACATTCCAAAGTTTTTATGTAGACCACTGGAACTTGCAATCCTGGACTTTTTCCTCTTTTTGGGAAGATGCTAAAGATCACACCTGTCTCATTTTAAAGAATTGTGCTGTGGCTGTGGACCTAGTTTTTTTTTAAAAAAAAAACAAAAACAAAAAACTACATTCTTACCAGGTGCAAGTCGGGTTCATCTTTTTTTTTTTTTTTTTCTTTCTATCTGGTGTGTCTTTTAGAGTACACTGGGTACATGAACAATACACTCTTTGTAGGGTGCAGGGCTGGTGTGTGTGGTGGGGAGGACACATTGGCAACTTTGTTAGGATCAGAATAACTCTTTAGAAAACAGATTCCAAAAACAAAATGTGAATCCTCCCAAATCACAACACAACACTACAGTCCTAAGACCTGAGGATGTTTTAAAGAACTTGAGAATGCAAACCTAATTCAACTTCAAATATACCAATCTCTTCACACAGCCAGCCAAGAACCAACCCAACTTGCAGAGACGTTAGAAAACAGGATATCCCCAGTCTTTCTGATCCATGACAGCTGGCATACTTAAGACTTGCCTGCAGTACATTCTTAGTGCTCTCCTCTGCTGCAGCTGCTTCCTATCCTAGGCTGAATGGATACATTGAGAGTGGAGTCCAGCCCACTGTCAGGGCCTGCAAGTGTCTCCCAGTTTGAAGGCAGTAGTTTCCTCTTTTCCAAGCTCAGTGACTGGACTCTTGTGAGCTACACCTATATCAAAATTCCCTTTTGGCTCTGAAGTCCTCCTCCCTATCTCTGTCCAGGAAACGAGCAGTGATAGGAAGGCCTAGCCTAAATAAAAGAAATGGGATGGCTCTTTACCTTGTTCTTTCCTGTTATCTGTTCCTAGGAAAAGATAGAAAGGGCAAGAATTGCAAAGCTATATCAAATCCTACTTGCCAGGCCAATGTGTCAAGAATCTAAGATGCCAAATTAATTACATAAAGCTGAGCGGGCTATTCTCTGTAGTTAGGAAGGCTATGTTAAGTTTTGAGTCTCTTCAGAGCTTTCCTAAAGTTCCCCAGGGATTCTGGTCCTGTAATCCCAGTACTTGGGAGGTAAACACAGAAGAAAACGATGATACACGCTGAGTTGGAAGCTAGCCTTGGCTACATGAGGGAGGTGCAGACAAGATGAGGGGAAGCTCTCCAGACTTTCGGAATTTAACAAGTTTGTAATACCAGCGAGTAAAGAATGTTGCCAAGAGTGATTTGAGCTTGATTTGGTCAGAAGTGATTCTCCCGAGTTGTTGTCCGACCTTCATATGAGCTCCTTAATGTCCGTGTTTGCACACACACACAGTTGTTATAGGTAACATAAACTAAAGGCTGACAGACCAACAACTGTCACGGAGTTTGCAGCATTAAAGAGCACTCACTATAGGTGGCAGCTGTGTACTTTGTATGGGTACAGACATAATCTGACATTCTTCAGTCCTAGCTGGCAATCACCAATCTGCCAAACACCTTCCTCTTTGGTGACAAAAGGCAGTTTCCTAATTAAGCCTGAAGGTTGATCAAGAACCTTGATGTTCTTGGTTCTGGGGATGTAGTTCTGTTGGTAGAGTGCTTGTCTGACATTTACAAAACCCTGGGTTCAAATACCAAGGCTATGAGCAGTTTCCCCTCATTGTCATTCTGTGCCTAACTCATCTGCTTCATGGTGTTTCTCACTTCTGATCCTGAATGCATGAACAGTGCTGCGAAATTAAGGTAAGCCTTGCCATCAGTGGCCTCCAAATCCTGGATCACCTATCATTAAAAAAAAAAAAAAAAAGGATGGAAAGGCTAAAATCATAGCAGATACTGTATTTCAACTTGTTCAGTGTCATACAGAGCAGTGGAGGCAAGACTCCAGCCTCAAGTACCACTTCAAGCTAATGTTCAAAAAAAAAAAAAAAAAGTGGGGGGGGGGGAAGTGGGGCAGTTGTGGCACACGCCTTTAATCTCAGCACTCAGGAAGCAGAGGCAGGAAGACCTTTTTGAGTTCAGCAGGGTCTATCTACAGAGCAAGTTCCAGGACAGCCAGGGCTACCCAGAAAACAACAAAAACAGAGTAGGGACCATGTTGAGACTATTGAGCTCCTTGGGAGATGGAAGTTTGATACAAGCCAATATAACAATATATAGTGAGACTCATATCTAAGACGGGCAGCAAGAAAGACTAGGTTATAGCTTTCAAGGTCAAGGAAAAAAAAAAACTCTCATCCTCTGCCCATCTTTGGAATAGACAGTGGTGTCCCTGTTCGTGCCATTCTCACAATTCCTGAGCTTACTAATTCACAAAGTAACAATGACACCAGGTGATGTAAAGCCCTCACCCCCATTCCAGCCACTGGAGATGCTGGGGTAAGAGTGCTATGTCTGTGAGTTGAGATCAGCCTGGGCCACACAGCAAGACCTGGCACTTGCGCCTCCTCGTCTCAAAAAAGGATCATAGGCTCTTTTTCCTAGAAGTTGACACTTGCTTTATAAACATGGTATACATATCAGCAATCCTAGAGCTTTAGCGAAGACTTGGGTTTTTCCTGACACAAACAGGGTTGCTGGGTAAATGTGTTTATTATAGTAGTAACTGGCAAGTGAAACACTCCGGCTAACACTAAACTGTTGTTACCTTCCTTCCTCACTGAACCAACACAGTGGGGAAAACGGTATTTCTTGAGAATAACCACAGGGGACAATGGTCTTTCTAAAAGAACTCCAGATAATAAATATACCTTTTGGCCTGTTTCATTTTCACATATATTTTTAAGTATGTGTGTGTGCATGTTTTTGTGTCATGCATGCGAGTGGCAGAGTACCTGCAGGGGTTGGTTCTCTCCTTCCATCTTAGGAGTTCCTGGGATCAAACTCAGGTCATCAGGCTTGTCAGCAAGTGCTTTTATCTACTCAGACACCTCATAGACACTATATTTTAATTTTTTTATTTTTGGTTTTTTGAGGCAGGGTTTCTGTGTAATAGTCCTTGCTGTCCTGGAACTCACTTTGTAGACCAGACTGGCCTCAAACTCAGAGATCCGCCTGCCTCTGCCTTTTATCACCATGGCCCAGCTATATTTTTACATTTTAATAAAGGTTTCAATTACACTCAAGACAGAACCAGTCTGAAACAAGATGACATATGTTACAGTTTTCTCTCTCTGTGCAGAAAATAAATGAGAATGTAGCTCAGATGCAGAACACTTAGCATGTACAAGGTCCTAGGTTCAATCCTCAGTATTACAAAAAAAAGTAAACCTTTCTACCATAAAGGGGAAGCTAGAAATAGTGGCTGAACAGGTCTATGTCTTAGGAACTAAGTAATGCTTAAGAAGGTGGGAGAGGGGGAGTAGGCCAACAAGATGGCTCAGTAAGTAAAGGTGCCTGCTACCTAGTCTGACACCCCGAGCTTGATCCCTGGGCTACACAGGTGGCAAGTGAGAACTGACTCCCACACGTCACCAATACAAGTGTGCCACGGTGTGTACACCAAGCGTGCATGTACACACACAAACTAAAAATTAAAATGTAATTGAAGTATTTTAATGTAAAAAGGAAAAAAGGACTATGCATTGGCTTCAAGTAACCACATAAATGTTAATAGCCTCTAGTGAGAGCAAATTGCCTAAGAATCTCTTCAATTAAAAAATAACCAAACTTAATTCATCTGTTAAGTGAAGAGACACAGTTACATCCACAAAAGCAACTGTTTACTACCTATTGTATTACTTTTTATTGAAAAGCATCTTGCACTTAGGATGGCTGTTTTCTGAGTTTTGCCATACACTTTAATGTTAAAGATTAAATTACTTTTTACATGCAAGTAGTGTCTTTCCCCACATGGGAACAATGATGATAAAAAGATGACATACCACATGAAGTAAGTGTCTTTTTTAATTGAAAAGCTAACAAACTGTCTAGTTACAGCCTCCCTCCAAACCAAACTAGGTAGTAAACTGAACATATTCAAAGGTGAGAAGATTAAAAATTAAAGGAGAAAAAAAAAGACAAAACAAGTCCTCAGATCCAATTGAGAGAGCCCGCTGCATACAAGCTTACCAGCAGCAGGAGGCTGGAAGACACCCTAACCTAACCACCTGACTCGCAACATTAACTTCAAGTTGCCTTGTTCCAGTTTCGGACTCATGAACAAAGATCATGTTTTGTTAATTCTAGTTCAGAATACTTCTCTTAAGTTGTTTTATTTACAATGCCAACTTTGAAAGGCTCACTGAAGTTAAATGGACAATGGATTAGGCAGAAATCATTTTACAGAAAGAGGGAAAGCCCAAAATGCCACTTTCCACAGAGAACCCAAAGTTCAGTTTTATTCAGAGTAATGGGAAAAAAAAAAAAAAAAGAAACTTCTGCTCATAGAAGAAACTCAGCCATAGGTCAGATCTGTACTGGAACTACACATGCAGTGAGGACAAGGCTGCGTTTTTCTACTGTTCTCTAATATTAACAATTATAAACAGAGCAGTGCAACTAGCATTTGGAACAACCCTTCTAGTGTTACAGTGTCAGGCACAGCACTTCACTTCTCTTCACACCACTGGTTCTCTTTGCGTACCTAGAAGAGACAGACAAGGAAGTACCTTGAGTGGTCTTTTCTGAGATGGCTAAGCACCACCTATACTATACCATCAGTAGCCTCTGTGATGTGAGAAGGGCAGATGGAAAGCTGGGAAAATACCAGGTTAAGTAAGAGTAGACTTGGGCTCCCATTATAAATCATCAAACAGCAAATACAACTGGGAGCTCTAGTCCCACTTCCTAAGCTGGCAAGCAAACTAAACTCATCCATTCTTGTATTATCAGGCTCCACTTTCTAAAGCCAGCTATTTATGGCCTATACAAATGTCCCAGGTAAAAATCTACAATCTGGTAATGAAGAACCCCCTTAGTTCAAAATCCATTTTTCTTTTTCTTTTCTTTTCTTTTTTTTTAAAGATTTATTTATTATGTATACAGCATGTATGACAGCAGTCCAGAAGAGGGCACCAGATCTCATTACAGATGGTTGTGAGCCACCATGTGGTTGCTGGGAATTGAACTCAGGACCTCTGGAAGAGCAGTCAGTGTTTTTAAGCTCTGAGCCATCTCTCCAGCCCATTTTTTTTTTTTTTTCAAAATCCATTTTTCTTATGCTTATAAAATAATAGTATCAGGCTGGGGGACTGGAGAGAGGGCTCAGTGGTTAAGAGCACTGACTGCTCTTCCAGAGATCCTTAGTTTAATTCCCAGCACCCACATGGTGGCTTACAACCATCTGTAATAGGATCAGATTCCTTTCTTCTGGTGTGCATGAAGACAGAGTACTCACATACATTAAATACATGAATAAATAAATCTTAAAAAAAGAAGTATCAGGCTAGACATGACTCAGAGGTTAAGAATGCTGTTAATTCCTACCCCACAACCACCTGTAACTCCAACTCCAGGGAATCCAATGCTCTCTTCTGGCCACTATCCTCACATACATGAATAAAAATTAAAAACTCTTCAAGAACAGTATCATCTAAGTACTTAGATTCAGAGACAGACCAGAATGTGAGACTCAGAGGTGCACATTACCCCTCTGTATCAAGACTTGTTCTTATTGGGTTTTCTTTGTTTTCTCAGACAGGGTTTCTCTGTATAGCCCTGGATGTCCTGGAACTTAACTCACAGTCTGCCTCAGCCTCCTAAGTGCTGGGATCAAATGCATTTGCCACCACACCCGGTTGGTATCAAGGCATTTTACAAGGCATCCTAGGTAAGTTCACTAATAAGCTGTAGCCCTAGCCCAAGAATTCATGACAGGCATCTCCTCCCCCCTCTCCGCACCCCCCACCCCACAAGACAGGGTTTCTCCATGTAGTTTTGGTGCCTGTCCTGGATCTCACTCTGTAGACCAGGCTGGCCTTGAACTCACAGAGATCTGCCTGACTCTGCTGGGACTAAAGGTGACCACTGATGCCGGTATAGGCATCCATTCTTGTTACTGGGTTCCAGTTTCTTTTTAAAAAGTAATCAAAAATAGGCTGTGTTCTACCTACCTGGGCCTCTTCCTCTTCAGTAAAGTCGTTTTTGATATTGAAGGTTTTACGAATCTCCTCAGGAGTTTTCCCCTTAATCATATTGGCCACAGTCTTGCATGTGACATCGAGCAAACCTTTAATGTCCAAGTAGTTTGCAGCCTGTAAATGACAGCTGGTTTTTAGTCATGTGTACTGAATGTTTGAGTGATAAACAATCTACATCAAATTGAGCTTAAAATGATACCCCTTTTAATGAACTCTATGAAATTCTCTTCCCTTTAATACTAATTACTTTCAATTTAACTTCACTTTTCACTAACTTTTCTCTTATATACTACTTTACCTTTATCCTAGATTTTCATTGTTTTATCTCAATTCAGTTACGAATACTAATTTAAAATTTTTCTTTGGGTTTTTTTTTTTTTTTTTTGGTTTTTCAAGACAGGGTTTCTCTGTGCACCTTTTCCTGGAACTCACTTGGTAGCCCAGGCTGGCCTCGAACTCACAGAGATCCGCCTGCCTCTGCCTCCCGAGTGCTGGGATTAAAGGCGTGCGCCACCACCGCCCGGCTTTCTTTGGTTTTTAATAACTAGAAAATTATTCAATTTTCAAATAGTTGCAAATTTTTTCCAGATTTTATTTTGAGACAAAGTCTCACTATGTAGCCCTGAATGTCCTAATACTTGTTATGTAGAAGACCAGGCTGGCCTCAAACTCAGAGCTCAACCTGCTTCTGCTGCCTATATTCTGGGATTAAAGGTGTACACTACCACACCCAGCTTTAGACATTTTTTATGCTTCTATCATTGAGGTCAAAGAACATACTTTGTATAACTTGAATACTTTTAAATCTGAGACTTTTATGGCTGAGAACTTGGTCTATCTTGATAAGAATTTATATGGCTGTTATTAAATGTAACATCCTATATGCCAAATAAGACAAGCTGTTCAGTAGTGTTCCTGAACTGTTTTTCTGTCCACTTGTGATAATCACTGAGACCCAATATTGGAATTGGTATGACCGCACCACTGTGTATTGACCTTTGTATTTCACTACTTTTTTCACTTTCTGAAGTTCTGCTTCTAGGTAGGTATTTATAACTTTATTAATCAGTCAATCCCCTTATCATTATGAAACAGCCCTCTTCAGCTCAAAACTATAACCATTCCAACTTTCTATTTGTGTTAGCATACTCTTTTCCACCTTTAATTCTAATTGTGCCTCTTAAAGTAAGTTTCACACAGACAGCAAAAGAGACTTTTACTTTATCTAACCTGACATTTCTACCTCTCAAAAGTTCTTGGACCATTTACATTTAATGTAATTTCTAATGTATAGCACTGCCTGAGTCCAGGGAATATCCATAGTTGAGGATCAATGCACCTAGCAAATTCAATCTTTTAAGTGGTAAAGGCTCTGCAACAGAATGACCTTATACATTCACATACCAGAATAAGTTCAAAAAGTGTTCCTTGGTCAACTTTCAGGAATTCTTGGTCCCAAACAGGAATATCATCTGTCCGCTTTTCTTTGTTCTCATCATCTTCAGGAGGAGGGGGGTCATCCTTGTGATGGGTGCACCACTGAATGACCTACAACAACAAATTCTTCTGGCATTCTGTTACAAGACTTTCAGTTTAATGCTGGGGGCATCAATTCTACACTGGGATAAGAACTAGCCAAAAGTTGAGCTAACAAGAAGTTAGAGTCAATTTTTAAAAATAAAGTTTATTTACTGCACACCCACAGGAAGGTTGGACAACTGGGCAGGAGTTGGGTCGTTCCTCCCACCACATGGATTCATGGATCAAATCAGATCATCAAGCTTGGCGGTTAAGAGGCATCACCCACTAAGCTATCTTGCTGGCCTAAACTTGCTAGTTGCTGCTGATTACCTTGTATTCCTGATCCTCCTGCTACCACCCCACACTCCCAAGGCTAGGATTACAGGCACATCCTCTAACAGCCAAGCTCAAAAGACAAAATACAGCTTGAATAATCTTTTTAACTTCCAAGGATGAAACATCTTATTAGATGTAACCAAATCATTCATAGCAATACACTTGACTCTGTTAAAAACAAACAAAAAACTGGAAAAGGAACCAGCAGTTGGAAGAATAAAGCAGGGGGAGTCTGAGTCCAGGCCAGCCTGAGAGATACAGCAAGATCTGTCTCAAAAACACAAAACAATAAACTTCCCAGAAACCAAGCCACTGGACAGATGACTCAAGAGATTGAAAGCATTTGCTGCTCTTATAGGAGACCTGGGTTCAGTCCCCAGCACCCAATGGGCAGCTTACAACTGCCTGTATTTTCTGTCGCCCAGCCTCTGCAGACACTGAATGCAGACGGTATACTTACAAAACACTTGTACACACATATATAATAATAAAAAAAAATCAGAGGGGCTGGAGAGAGAGCTCAGTAGTTAAGAACACCTTGCTGCTACTCCAGGACATGGGTTCAATTCCCAGCACTCACATGATAGCCCACAACCATCTGTAACTCCAATTCCAAGAGATCTGATGCCCTCTTCTGGCCTCTTCAGGCACCAGGCACACACATACAGGAAGGCAAGACATCTATATTCATATATATTAAAGACAAAATGTAGGGCTGGGCTGGGGGGATAGTTCAGTCAGTAAGATTGCTTGCTGAACAAGCATAAGGACCTGATTTTGAATCCCCAGCATCAACATAAAAAAGTTGAGACAGCATGCACTTGTACCCCTAGTGCTTGTGGTGTGTGGGGTTGGGTGGGGAGCTTGTTGGTTACCAGTCTAGCTCTAGATTCAGGAAACAGAGAAAGTAATATATCAGGACACCTGATGTCCTCCTCAGGCTCCAGGGAGACATCCAAAACACATGTGTGCACATACTACATACAAACAAAACCAAATTACTCATTTACACAAAGAAACAATGGAAAGACTAAAAGCTAAGTTCATTAAAGGTATGGTGGCACATGCCTGCAATTCTAGCACCCACAAGGCAGCAGTAGGAGTGCTTTCTAGTTCAAGGCCAGTCTGAGGTATCAAACAAGAGCCCATCTTTAAAAAAACAAACCAAGCCTGGCAGTGGTGTCAGAAGCCTTTAATCCCAGTACTCAAGAAGCAGAGGCACGCAGATCTCTGAGTTTGAGGCTAGCCTGGTCTACAAAGCAAATTCCAGGACACGCAGGGCTACACACACAGAGAAACCCAGTCTCAAAAACAACAATAAAACAAAACAAACGCAAACCAAAGAAATAAAACAACAAAATCTACCCCCCAAAAAGATCTTACCTGGGCTGAGGGTGTAGCTCAGTATCAGAACATACATTATGTTTGAGACCCTAAATTCAATCCCCAACGGAAAAA